GCCGGGCACGCCCTAACGAGGCACCGCGCCTCCCCCCTCCCCCCGCAGCGGCGGGGCGGGGGACGAGCCGTGCCCCACGGCGACAGCGGCGGGGACGGTGCGGGAGGCGGGGACGGTGGCGACGAAAGGGTGGTGGGGAATTTGGCGGTGGAGGCAGCGGAGGTGGCGGTGTGGTCCATAGCCTCGTGACGGAAGAAGCGTCTGAGGCGGTGCCGAAGGTATCCGAGATGGAGGTGCCAGTGGTGTTGGTGACGGTGACGGGGCAGGGATGGAGAAGAGGGTGGGGTGGGATTGGTGGTGTCGGAATCAGAGTCGGTTTTAGAGCCAAAGTCAGAGACATAGTCGGTGACGGTGGTAACGGTGATGGCAATGGGGGTCGGCGGTGGCGGATGATACATAAAAAAGCGTCGCTCGACACACGATGAGCCCGCTTTCATGGCTCACTTGACAGCGCGCTGGGTTTGCACAGCTGGGTCCTCGGCTCCTTATAAAGTGCACTTCTAATCTTTCTCAAGTTCACTCCATTTCTCATTTATTAGATAGTTAATTTTTTATTTCAATCAGTGCTTTCTTTAGCCCTGACGCATTTCTTGCAAACATCTTCACAAAAAATCTTGTTTTAAAAAAAATTGGTTTAATATACCTTTATTTCAATTCAATTTTTCCACATATAATACGATCTCTTACTATAGAAACATCGACTCTCCTGAAATATGACAATATTTTATATATTATTCTTCATTAGCGGCCTTTTTCACATGGTACGAAATAATGAGAATCGAAAATTAAAAACTATCTCTACCTCGTAATGAATTTATCTAGCGTTGCAAGTTTTCAGGTTTATATATATTAATTTCTGTCTCCTTACAATAATTTATTATTTATGCAGAAGTAAATCAATAGATTCAATGTTATTTACCAATAGCAGTATCTGCAGCAGTCAACACAATATTTTGAGTTCGACATGCAATCTGCCATGCAAAAGCAAGGCTCCCAGGATAAGGTCGCCATTAAATATTGGCTTTTCATGTGTTTCGTTATGGAACAGCAAGTATTGTGATATTTTTGGTATGCAAAGAACTCTTGAACGGTATTTATACAATAGCATACTATGTTATTGGAGTATTCGTAAAAAATGTTTTTGTTAAAATATATCATTTATTGCAGTGTTATAACAGAGTATTTTATGTCTTGTTCTTGAGAAGTATGCGAGAAACTTTCGGAAAAAACACATGTGATTTTGTTCAGAGCATTTTTAATGCTGCAGTTCATTAATCATGTTTTATAGCTTAATTCCAATAAATAGTTTTGCATTAAAAATGTGCAGTCGATTACAGAAATCTGAAACTTGCATGTCCCCAATATTGCTTGGATGGTGTGTTTATTATGCAATTTACATAGATCTGTTTACGCGAGTGGTACCTGAGAAGAAACAACTAAAGCAGATTAGTACTATTAACGTCTCACATAACACAATATTTATTCCTTCTATCCACCTCGTATATGGCGGCAAAAGAATCACATTCTGTTTAGAAATTCAACACACATTATCAACACAAACCAGAAGAAATCAGCAGCCAGAGTGTAGGGCTCTGCAACCAGGAAATGAGGCGCTGCCGTGCTCTGGTGCACGCCAACCAACGTAGTAGCGTTATGGGTGGGCGGAAAAAGTTTATGTTATCGCCTGTGTACCACGACCTAGTATAAACGAGCTCACGCCTGGCTGGGTCCATTTTCACGTTTCGTTCTCAATTACCCACGTAAATAAAGTGCATCCTAGCTCCGGCTGTAAATATTCCCGTTATTATCTCGACATTAACAACGCGCCTGCAATTTGGGGAGATTCCTGTTGCAAATAGTATAGATAGTGTTTTTTTTTCTGATCTTTCAATTCTTAAAAATGTCTAGACTTACATTTGCTATAGTGACGACGTAAATACTGAGAAAAGGTTTTGTTACATTATGTTTGTTTAAATAACTTGTTGGATGAAAATGTTGATGAAAAACTGATGCCCAGACTTCTAGCAGAGAGAATAAACGATTGTTGTGAATAGAATCGATTCACTACAATTAAATAGTCTGCTCGTTGTGATTCATGAATTTAAAAAAAGGTAAAATTGAAATAATATAAACTGTATTTAGAGGTAAAAGAATAAGTATGCGTAAATATTTTCCCAAATAAGTTCTTGTAACGTGTTAGTGATCAAACCATGTAAGAGTAACAAATAGTTTTAGAAGCGGCACACTACTAGAGAGATATCATAAGGTAGGTAGATATCATGAGGCGTAAACGTGGACGAATTAGTTTCAATACTTGTAGTCGAATGTTGGCCACTGATCACATCTGTTTATATTTTTGCGGCTGATGTGAAAAGGATGTAACAGAACCGATATGGCGTCGGCGTCGGGAGGCGTCAGTGGTTAGTTAAGGTGATATGATGACATCCGATATCCCCCGTCGCGTCCTTAATTAAGCTGTTCCCCCGCAGACAAGATTAGGCAAATTACATCGCGCGCCGAGATTAGGCCCGCGCCGGCGGGGGTGTGGTCTGAGGCGGCGGAAACGTAGATGGAGGCGGGCCGGCGGTGGCGGCGGTGGTGGTGACAGCAGTGACGGCGCGAGAAACACCCTGCCGCACGGTGGCAAGTGACGACCGCCCTCTTCTCCAAAGGCGTTTCAGCTTTTTCTCCCTCCGCAGCAGCGCTTATCGCGAAGTGCAGCAAACTCGCGAAGGGTTAGAGGCAGCAGCGGTCGGGGTAGCAAGGGGAGACATTCACCACACCGTTAATTCGAAGGTACCCTCATCACTGAGGCGTTTCTTCAACGCATGAGGTAACGAGATTTTGCCCTTAATTGATATTTTGGATCGGATAATTATATTCCTGCTCAGGAAATGAAATAACTTGAGCTTTTATAAACATCACTAGTATACGACGTGGAGTTTGTGATTTTATCTACCATCTAATTGGATACTGGCTAATGGTTTCGTAATAATTAAGGATAGTCTGCCTCGGTGACGTAGGGGCTTCAAAAGCGTTCAACTACAGACGCATGGATGTTTCCATCACTTAATGTCATGATTGGTTTTTCTTAGCACTACATAATCCTCCTAAACCATCCCAGTCATAATTAATCAAACATCAATTACTCCTCATTATTACATCGTCCAATGGAAGCCAATGGCAAACAACTACCGTAATTCTCTGTCCAAGAAAGAAGAAGTGATAAAATCCTCATCCCTCGTCTATCGTGAATAGCATTCATATTATTCATCAAGGTACAAAAGAACGCGTTTGTTTTCATTGTTGTGGTAAAGGACAGAATGAGACATATACTCATCTTCAGTTACCAATGTAGTCGCATGATGCCCAAGCGCCAACTTAACAGTGACTGTTTGGAGCCTCGTGCCTGTTTTCTCGAACGCAATGAAAGATTGGAGCAATAACTTTAACACATTACAAAAAATAGAGTCGGAGAGTATTGTATCATAAATGCTTAAAAAACTACGGGAAGAGTAAGAACGTAAACTTTAATGTTGGTTGCAGATCTTGTATGAGAAATTTAAAAGCACACAGAAACAAAAACGCGACAATTTCATTGACTAGGAAAAATGAGCATTACACATGCAAATGCAGGAAGTGTTGCTTTTAACTCAACATTGACATTAATGTTCAGGAAACAAAGAACATCCGCAGAGGAAGCGAATAAAGTGAAATAAAATACATTTTTCTCTGAGAGAAATATTAATATAGCAAAAATTACAGAATAGAAAGAAACCAAAAAATACAAATACGAAATGAATAATCAACAACTGAGATATTATTGCATATGCTAGGGAAAACAATTACTGTTTCTTCAAACATTTGAAATTATTGTCAATGTTTCAAAACATCTTGCTTTTTGCATAGCAGTCTTATTTCTAACACTGTCAGGAAGTGAATATGGTAGTGAGGCAGTCGTACAGCTTGAGACCAAGGGTTTTCTTCTTGGGATTGTAAAGGGGGAAACCTTCATACAGTTTGCCATCAAATAATACACATGATTGGTCATTAAACCACAGCCATACAACGCCATGAACTAGCTTCTGGTACTTTGTCGTTTACATCCTGCCCATGAAGTAGAAAAAATAGAACGACACATTAGAATACTAAAATGTGCGCAGTAAATAAAATAATGTAAACTTTTCGAAATATGCACTGTAAACGACATTTTTTTATAAAAAATTAAAAAAAGAGAAATAACAAAGCTTTTGATTTGATAAGTTTCAATCGTGCAAAAAATCCACTGAGTCCGATTCCGAAAATAAACTGCACTAACAAGGCTAACGCAACTTGCGCCACATTCCGACTAAGAATGATGGCATGTACGTAATGTACTTTTAATAGTAGACAATTGAAATTGGGTGAAAGATCAATTGGATCAATTAGCTTAAATTATATTGAATTTAACGGTATACTATATTCATTTTTCAACACATCGCAACCGATTATATAATTCAGGAAACAATATTTTCTACACTGAAATAAATATGAAATATTTATCGTTTATTGAGCAGTATTCAAATCAGCAGAAACTTTACATGAATTCAAATACTATTTAAGACGCCGTCCTGGGCAGTACCTCCCCGGCAGTGTCTTCGGTCATCAGGGATCCAGGGCGAGTGGTGCCTGGTGGCACGACCGCCAAGGACTGGGCACGGGAGTGGGAGGTAGAAGGGGAGAGGGTGGGCGAAGCGTGCCTCGCAGCCGCATTCCGCCCACGCCGCCCGAGGAACAATTTCATTATGCGTTTCTCCAAGCCTTATCTAATCAATTCCACCGCTGGCAGCGCCTTGGCAGTGTTGTTAAATTACGGGACGTCGGATAATTGGGTAGCCAGCAACTGTCTGCACTCAGAAGGAACAAGAAGCAACGAAACACCATTTTCTTGGTAAATAAATTCCCAGAAATTAAGGTGTTTCATTGGCAGAAACGTTAAAATTGCAGACGTTGTAACTCACCATTTCAGTCATTTTGAAGGTTCCAGGCGAAGATCCGGGCACTCAGAAATGAGATCTGTAAGAAATTAAAAATCTATTAGCACGTAACGTAAAAATCCAATCTGCACATGTTATTTTTGTACATATCTGAAGAATAAATGAAAGTGATAAATGAAAAACAGAGACTACTACCGAAGAAACTTCGCCTTCAACAGTGCAGTAAAACTGAATGTTCTATACATTTCATTTGAACAACACTATTACATAACACATTTATTTCGTACAGTTCACGTCCTACTGAATCTACTCATCTTTCTTCCTGAAGATCCAGAATCTATCTATTTTCAAATAATTACATTTTTTAAAAATTCAATCAATATTTGAAGTTTAGGAATATAGATTTTATGCATATCGTAAATGTTCATTGGTGATTTCTCCCATAAAATGAAGTAATGTTTGAAAAAAGAGAACTCTTAAAATCTTTTAATATTTCAGTAAATATACTTATTTCCGTTTCTACGACATTAATTTGCAGATGTCTAGATACATCTCATTCTATAATAAGTACGTTTATAGTGAATCCTGAAAGTTTCTTCGTGTGCACTTACACATCATCATGTCAAACGAACTCATTAACAGTAACTTGCTTACGTCGATATATTGCATTACGCAACCTGGTACTAGAGCATCGTGCCGCTTGAAGTACACATTAATGTAGCGTAGAAATACTACGTTCCTCAATCATTACCCTAACAAAGTAAGGTTCCGCAATTAATACGTGAAACAAGTCATTATCATAATTTACAACCGAGGGTAATTACAGTCTGCTTTAATGAATTTTAATGAGTCCGTGCACGCACAGACACTCCTACTCAAAAGCGTACCTACCAAATGCAGGCATGCGCATCGGTTACGTTTATACCTTTAGAGAAGTTATTCTCTTTCCCAACTTCCAGGATCTTACTGTAAACGATAAATCAGGACATTTAAACAATTCGAGGATTCTGAGTTAAAGCACTTAATAATGAAGGCAAGTACGTGGAAATATTGAACTCGTAATATAATTTCACCAATTGGCATGGGGGAAAAGTGGAACATAAGAAATGATCACATAATAGGAGAGAACCCCACTATGAACAGTATCAATTCACGTCATACATGAAGTTTATCAATTATACAAACCAAATGCAAACAAAATATTTCTTAAAATATTTTTTTTTCAAATCATTAAACTGAGTGGTGGCATTCCACATTCACAATTTCAATAATGAGCATCAACATTTACGTATGAAACGTTCTAGAAAGAAGAAATTTGTTTCTAATATTATTATCTGCTAGTAGAATATTTAGAATTTTCTGTTTATTTTGTCATCCTCTAACATAAACGTACCTCCAGTGTAACGGTAGTAGGAATCGTAGTCTTCTGAAATTGTGCAAAACTCCAACCTCATTACATTTTTCCTCACCAGGTTTGCAAAATGTCTCTTACTCAAAATAAATGTTACCCAAGTAATACCGTATCTGGTAAATCGGGGTCTATTACGTACAGTTTTATTGAGGCATAGCATCTCCACGTTTACGAGGTTCAATGAGACTTAGCACAGCTGG